GAGCCCCTGCAGACACACGCTGAAGTTCAGCTCTGGGAATGCACACTGACAGAGCCTTCGTCTTGGTGTTTGCTATGACACCAGCGCCTTTCTAAACCATGCTCAGGGCCACCGCAAATCCGCCAGGGAGGGAGAGGGCTCGGGGTGTATCGAGGAAGGTTTCCACTTTGCAGAAACTTAAGTGCAACTTTTTACCATGAGTGCTGGGCAACTCTAACTGCAGCCATGATTTGGGGCACTAAATAACATTGCAATGGACAGTGAGACAACAAGCTGCCAGCAGAGAAGCGTGAATGGGACAGTATTGCTCTTTTGTGCAAAATCCTACAAATAATGTGTGTGTGTGCTTAAGATTCAAGAAACCACATTTTCCACTTTCTTCCTCTAGCAAAATACCATCAGAAGCTCACCCCTCTGTACTATCTGCTAAAGAAGATCTCAGTCCTGCATGGAGGACTTAGGGGCTGCATTTCTCTTGGCCTTATTTTCTTCAGGCTTACAGTGAACTCCAGAGCAAGAAAGTATGGAACACACTTCAGTGAGGGCTTGGCTCAGAGCCCCTTGAAACCCGAGGGAGCCTGACACTGTCTGTGCTCTGGGCTCACTGTGGAACTCATCCCCTACAAGAAGGGGGGAACTTGCTCCCCAGGCTCTCCCTCCTCCTCCTCCCCCATGCAATTCTGCAGCTCCTGCCTGTTGGGGTGAGGAGCCCAGCTTCCCAGATGGCCCGAGTCCTACGCTCCACCATTTACTGTTAGCAATGCTTGGAAAGCAAGCAGAGGATCAGCCTCACATGGTGCTCCATGCTGCATGTCCGTCATGAGTGGAGCATGCGCACAAAATGAAAATATTCTCATCTTCCTGAGCACCTGCTCACAAAGTCCCAGGCTCCCTGAGCCAGGGTCAAGAGACTTGCTGTCAAGTAAGGTCTGTCCCAAACAATTTACTGCACGCTTATGGCTGCTTGTGCTGAGGCTGGCACTTGGCCAAGTACAAAGTGACAGCAAAGAAAATTTAGGCACTATAGCGACCTTAGCAAAAGAGCCCAAATTTAGCAGAAGGAATTGCAAATGCACACAGAACACCCATAGCCAGACAGCAGCTCGTTTGAAGAAGGCACCTCACAGCATTATCAGGGTGGCTCTACCTTTTCTCCTTTTCTACACGTTCTACTACTTTTTCAGAAGGGTCCATAAAAGAGCACAAAGCCAGAGATTTTAAGCTTGAGGTTAATTTGGAATAAGCCCAAAGCTACAACACACCATATAGGAAATTATGTAAACCATTGAATTAGTTTTCTTGGTGAAGAAGAAAAGATTTTGCCATTACACACTTATCTAGAAAGTAACAAGAACCACCCCTGCTGCAGAAATGGACAGCAGCTCTGCAGCAAAGAGAGAGGTTGTCGTAAGTGCTTTAGCCTTGTAGTATGGGAAGCAGAGTTAGAAACACCACTAAGCAGAGTGCTCTAGGGTGTTCCCTACAAAGTTACATTATACACTTGTCTGCTGTGGAGTGCACCAGCTAGTTAAGTTTTAGCTCGGTCTGTTGGTAGCAACCTAAACTTAGAGTACATTTCCTTCTCTCCATAGCATAGGCAGGGTACCCCTTCATGATCTTCTACTCTGTTTTAGAGAAGCTAGAGCCAAATCAACTGTTTCATAATATAGTGACTGGATTTTCACAGGCAACTGTGTGGAAGGAGCTCAGCAGGCAGCCCTGCTGCCAGAACCATAAGCCTGCCCTGCCCTCATGACACACCAGCATTTGATCACAGCTTGTTAAAACAGTGCTGAAAACTTGCCAAAAGGAACTCAGCTCGTCCATAACTCCTCTTTTGGCTCTGTAAGGCCTTGGGTGAGTTGTTTGATCCCACTGGGGCTCGGTTCCCAACTGTGGAACAGAGATAAGCAGCTCAAGCATGCTCTGCATATGTAGATTTGGCAGGGCTTTGGTGTGAGCGCCATTTTTTTTTCTTGCCAGGATAACTGTAAGTTTCCAAGCATGTGGCCCTTAGATACCCCCCAGTCAAGCTAATACTTGGCTACAGCTTGTCATTGTCACTGTTGTGAGCGAAACACACCTGTGGTAGCAGTGTGACAGAGCCCTGTGCAGCTGAGCTGGAAGCAGCATCTTCAGACCCTGGTGTACATGACTCTCCAGCTCTTGGCTGCACTAACACTCCCTGGTGAGCTAGGCTGGTGCTAGGAAAAGTGGGAAATTTTGGAGGCAAGCATGAGGGAGAACAAGGCCAGCTATTTACTGCCAGGAGACTTCAGGGGAAGCTGAAGGATTCTCAGAAACCTTAGAGCTCAGCAATACTATACTGCCAGTTTTCCCCACAAGGCCATGTTTTGTTTTCCAGGATTTTAGGTTAATACACAAAAGTAGTACTTTAACGCCTAAGAGAGGGAGGAAACCTGTGGCACTCTAAAATGCCTCATGCACCTGCTGTGCTGAGGCAAGGATCTCCAACATGCTGACTGTTGGTCAAGTCTCTCCTGCTTCTATTGCCTTTTAAAACCATGGAGAGATTTTAGGTTTCCTTGGCTCTATATAATTTGGATACTTTCTTTCTGAAGTGGCAGGAATTACCTCTTAAGCTCCAGTAACAGAAGCCACCATTTCTTCTCCAGTTTTAACTAAGCATTCAGAAATGGGGTGCAGATCCCCAGCTTCTGATGTCTCTGCAATTTTCACTTCTTTTTGTCTGATCAGAGTTGCCTCTGTAAAGAATTAACATTTACAACTCCATTTTGCCCAGAGGTTCACCAGGAGGCTCTCTACTTCACTTACTTGAATAAATGATTGATAAGAATGGTTGATAAGAATAAAGGAGGAAAGGCTGGGTGCCACAAAACATCATCAGTGAAATGCATCAGATCTCAGAGGTCATTTGCAACATACCTAAATGGAGCAGTGACTCAGAAGGCAAGCATTCCTTCTGAGCAATGGAGAGGCTGCACGCGGGAATCTGGGAGTTCAAGCAGTGCTTCACTCACCTGCCTGTCAAATGAGTCACTTAAATTTCAACAACATTAAAATAGCAGCCTGCATCTCCAAGGCAGCCAGCAGCAGACAAAACACTACAAGCACAGCACAATTATTTCCCTGGCAGTCTCAGATGTTACAAAAGATGCAGGTGTCTCCACTTGCACTAACCTGATGGGGCTCTGCAGTTGTGTTTTGATTAGCAAATAACCCATACAGAAACCTCCAAGAAACAGGAATATACAGACCACAACAAGAGCTGCCCTTGCTACCCCTTTTGAAGTGTATTTCACAGAACACTGCTCCATCACTTCCAATGTTCCCTTAGCAGCTGGCAGGCACAATCAACAGGCAATCCCAGCGAGATGCACTGCTTACATTAGAGTGATAAATGTTGCAGTGCCTGGGAAGGCACAGGGTTGGGAGTTAGGACTCCTGTTCGCCAAACAGCTTTCCAAACATACCCAGTCTGTCTGTCATCTTGATTACTGTTCAGGACAGCCTTGTTTTTAACAGGTGTTGTTGCTGCATATACAGGCATCTTTGCCTTCCACGAGCCCTAGCTTTGCTCAAAGAGCAAATGTTTCCTTTTCTGGCTTGATTCGGGGAATTCAATCCATCTAGCTGACTGGTCTTGGAGAGACCTTGCAGGACACTACATTCAGAAGAGACTCTGATCCTGATCAAGATCGCATGAAACATTTTGTGTTGAAAGTAACGAAAAGGAGGCTAGAAAAAGCTGAATAACCAGCTCCAGGAAAGTGCCTAGTGACCATTTCCGCTCTAGTATTGCTGCCTTGACCCCATGGGGAGCCAATTTGTGATGTTGCTAGTGCAGTTTGGCATGGATAACTACAGTGTTTCCAGGCTCCACAGTGGGTACCCGCTGGCTAGTCACACTACTGACACTTCCTGACTGTGCCAGCCAGGCTGTGCCTCTCTGCAGTTGATCTGGAGCAGGAAAGTGCCTGACCTCTAAGAGTCAATTTTGCTGTTCAGCCACAGTATTCCTTCCAAACAATGCTGCTAAGACTGAGCACTTACACCACGAAGCAGATGGTTCATTATCTTCCATCCGATTTGCCATTGCATGATAAGAACAGGCAGTGGATGGGAAGGCAATGGGCCTAGCAGAACGCTGGCACTTACCAGAAGCGCTTTGCAGTCAAGCAGAATTCAGACTTAGACTTGAGTGCAGAGACTGCAGAGGATCTAGTAACCCATTCCGGAAAGTCCAGAACTCAAGACAATTTCTATTTTTTCCAGCCAGTAACCTGAAAAAGCATTGACAGTTAACATTAAGATGGTGCTTTCACGAGAGCAGAACTGCGTCCAGCTGCACTTGGCTGGATACAAAAGCAGTGCTGTCTGGAGGTATTTCCAACCTAAACGATTGTATGATTAGTAGATTAATAGATGGAAAATAGATTAATAGACTTAGAGGCACTTCATTTTCTAGATTTAAGCACCATTTTTTAAATGTACCGTAATACGTAATATTTGTAATGCATCTTGGAATGAACTGCTCATTGTCAATGAGGCATTACAGACATATAGAAAGAAGAATCTTTGGGGCTCTCAGATTCCCCCTTCTTGCTTCTTTCATCACATCCATCCCCATTAACTACTTCAGTTGCAGGCAGCTCATGCCCTCTGCAGCTCAACTTGAATCAACCTGGCAGTATCTTTTGTCACAAGAGACAAGTAAGTCACTGCAAAAAGTAGATACAAGGCACACACGCAGTGGGACCGCATTGCCCGAGCATAGTGTGGAGACCCAACAGATGTAGACAGAGGTACAAAAATAAATAAATTTTAAAAAATCTAATGCCTACAAACTGGTTCTAGTTTCCTCCTCGTCCTCTAATAAGCGGTAAAGAAAGGAGAGCCCATAGCTGAGCTCCTCTCTTCTGACAGGCAACTTGGGCACAGAGAATGGGATCCAGTTGTAAGACCTCTAGAATCACTGCTGTGAACTGCATTGGCACTGGCAAGCGTCACACAATTTTTCAGGATGCTTCTCCCCTCCTAAAGAAATCTTCTACCAGCTTGTCAAATTTCTGTGAGGAATTCTGCTTTAGGACATTTAAGGGAGTGAGTAAATACTGCTCTGCAAATCCAGTTGGAAAGGGCTCATCAGAAACAGGTGCCTGGCTAACAGCACTAGCTGCTCTTGCTACTCCAGGCTGTTCTCCGCTCACCTCTTCCTTCCCTTTCTCCTTGCCTGAGTGACAACAAGTGCAACCTTCTTTTGAGCAGAAAGCTGACTCACAGTAGTTCTGCTGAAGAACCTTAACACCTGTGAACTCTTCAGATTTCTCAGTACGTTCCTCTGGGGACTCATAAACAACTCCTCGGGGCACAGAATGCTGGGCAGCTCTTTTCAAGAGACACATGGGTTCCCGCCCCTTCCTTTTGCTTTGCTGCTCTACAGACTCTTGCACAGGCTTTGGGACTTTGAGGTCAGGAAGCGCCTGGGGGGCAGAACTTAGGTATTTCTGAAAATAAGCCTGGCACATGCCACCCCTCACGATTGGAATGACCGAGCAAGGTTTCAGCCACTTCACAAACTCGCACAGCTCTGAAAAGGATGAGTGATCCGAGTATGGAATGGGATGGATGTTGGGGTGGGTGATCTTCACGGGCCTGCCGGTAGGGAGGATGGCAATGGTAGGGTGCAGCGTGTTCCAGCTGACAAGGGTATCCCAGCGGATCTCAGTGACATCCACAGCACGGATGCGGCCGGCCCCCTCCTCGGTGGTGAACACATCAGGCAGTTCCAGCAGCCGCATCTGCTCCAGGCGCCAGGGGCTCACCACGACCCAGGTGCTGAACTCCACTGCCAGGTCCACCAGCAGCGTCTCCTTCCCCAGGCTGTACACACCTGCAAGGAGAGCCGTGAGCAGCGCACCAGGGATGGGGCACGGGAGCATGAGCCCCCGCCAAGGGAGGGTGCCAAGGGGCCACGCTGACGGGAGGGGAAGGCGAGGGCGCCGCGGCGTGAGGCAGCACTCACCAATGACAACTTGGTGTCGCGGGTGCGTGCGGATGACGTGGGCAGCCTGGCGCGTGGCACG